GAGGGCAGTTTCCAAGGAGGCTCAGATGAGGGGCTTGGTTCTCCTGCTCTCTCCTCCACTTAAAAAGGGGAGCGCCAGAGCCAGAGCCAGTGAGTGGCCTCTTGTCACCCCCCTGGCTGTCCTGGGCTGTCCCGGGACTCGCAGACCCACCTGCAGCCCCTGGCCCAGTGTCTATCGGGGTCAGAGCTCAGGAAGGAGGGAGCGCCCACGCTCTCCCTGAACCCAGCGGGCGCAGCCAGGACTGGGCCTGCTCATCCCCGCTCCCACTCCTTGGTGCTCTCACGGCTCCCGCCTCCCTTCCTGCTCACCTGACCTGCTGACCAGTGGGGGAGGCCCCGTGGCCATCTCCCTGCCCGCCTCTTCACCCAGGCTTTCACTTCTGCGCGAGCTGACGGCTGCCTGTGGCTGGCACCTCGTGAGTGCTGAGTCTGCATTTCAGTGCGGTCCGTTGCAGCTTGAGAGTGGCGTGGAGGCTGCAGAGTCAGCTTTCACGCCAAGCGCCCTGACCACTGTCACCCCAGGCCACTGCTACCGGAGCCTGGGGAGCCACAACCAAACGCCCCCCCACCACCCATCTGTGATGAGGTCACTGTGTTTCCACTTGACAGGAGAGGACACCGAGGCAGGCACGCCAGGGAGAAACTGACAAGGACGAGAGTAGAGGTGACGTCTTCTGACCTCAGCTTAGTCCCCCGCCGGGTAACTGGGCGGCCTCAGCCGTTTTGTAAGCTCTAAGCAAGACCTGAGTTAAGCTGAAGGCTATCCATATGCACAGAGCACATGTACATGTGTGCATGTATGTTTCATAATGATATCTGTATACTATTTATGTATAGATAATGTACTGGTATCTATCATTTGTTATCTGTAACCATCTATCGCCTATTTATCTATCATGTATCTATTTATCCATCCATCCATCCATCCATCCATCCATCCATCCATCTGTCCGTCCATCTGTCCACATCTATCTGTCTAGCTAGCTAGCTATCAGCTATATATCACCTATGTATCCGCCTGTCTAACTGTCTATCTATTTCAAAAGTTTTGGGGCCTCCCAAGTGTCCCATGAGCCTTAGAGGGGTGACCTTAACACTGCCCAGGCTGACCTGGAGCCATGAGAAGAAGTGGGGAGTTAACCTGGGCTGTCTCTTGGGCCCCAGGGTCCTCAGCCCCACTTCTTGAGATGCCTGATTATTCATGCCACAGCTTACCCTCCTGTCTGCCATGCTAGGCCGCCTGGGAAACACTTGCCACTGGGGAGCTTGTGGCCGTAAAGCACTCCGAGGTCCCCTCCCCATTCTGAGCCTGAGTACTTTGAAATCTTCCAGTCGTGAAGGTGGCCAGTGCTTGTGCGTCCCTGCATGACTCCCTGGCTGCTCCCCTGTGCTGCACCTTCTGACCTTTCCAAGACCCGGAGAGAGCCGGGATCTTCCACTGGGCAGAGGGGGGACTAAGGCCAGATAGTAAATACTGAGGTCAGTCCTCCCCCTCTTTGCACCAGACCCTCTGACAATGACTATTTAAAGGGCAGCCATCTGGGTTTGCTTGCCCTGGAAGTTTCTGCTCTGGCTAAAGGGGTGAGCCAGCCTCGGGGAATAGGGGTGTAGAGTCTAGGCCACCTTGCTGATGTCCCCTTCTCCCCGACTAAGAGCCCAGGGTGGGCCTTTGCAAGGGATCAGTGCTGACAGGCCTCTGGCTACTGTGAGCAGCACCTCCCAGCTGCTGTGAGTTGAGCCCTTTGCTCAGATTTTAAAGATTCTAAAAAGCCCCTCCCAGCCCCACTAATCCCAAAACCCTGTGCACTGGTTCCAAGCTCCTGGCCTCCCTCAGGGGCTAGCCCTTAGGTTGGGCTAGGGGTCTGCTCCGGACTGCAAAGCTCAGCTGACCCCACAACTCAGCTCTCCTGTTGTTTGAGGCCCAAAGAGGGGGTGTGGCCATTCCCAGGTCACCCAGGTAAGCGCTGACAACCAGGGGTTTGAACTTGTCCAAGCAGGTGCTGCTCCCTTCTGGAAACCCCCTGGACACCTGTGTCAACGATCTGCAAGGGAGACCAGGCTCCATTCAAAGCGGAAGTGAGTGTCGTGCTGAGCTGAACCTGGAGCTCTCTCAAGTGATCCGGGACCCTGACAACAAGTCTTAAGAGTTTACTGATTTTATTGGTATGCATTGAAGAAGTCACCCCCAAAAAAGAAAAAAAAGGGATGAGGGGGTAGGAGGAAAAATGAGGGGAAAAAATCTCTTTCCTGTTTTCTAGTGGAAAATATTTGTTTTGAGACGCATAGATTCCGCACGGTCCTGCAGGCCCAGAGTCTGAGGCGGTACCGTGAGCACCAGCTAAGAAAAGCATCACCAAATGCCAAGTCTCTGTTTTATTTCTTTTGGGTCTCGAGTTAGTGAGTCTCCAGACTGTGGGTCACCTTCACCTCAGCCTCCCAAGCGGCGGGCACTCGTCTAGCCTCTTGGTCGGCTGGGGACAGGCCCCTCCCGCGCCCTGCCTGGCCCATCTCCCTGTCCTCCTGCTGCAGCCAGACTCGGCAGCGGGGTTCAGCTGCATGCAGGTCTGCACGCTGGATTCCAGGCCCCTGACCCAGTTTCTGCCCGGGGTTCTGCCATCTGTGCCAGCGACCTGGGGTGGGAGAGGAGAGCAGGGCTGCCCAGCCAGGCCCGGGCCTCCCACCGCTGCTGTGCCAGCTCTGCTCTGGGCCCTGGGTGGCAGGGGGTTTTGGGAGCGCTCGCTCCAGTCTGCAGAGCGCGAAGGCCTTTGCCGAGCAAGGGGTACCACCCAGAACCCCCTCTCTTCACCCAGCCCCAATTGCAGAACTGCCTGGAAACATTTTTTACCTAGATGGCACCAAAACCAGCTAAGAGCTATTTCCTTTCTGGTTTTTGCCTCCTTTATTTAACTCTTTTCTCCTCCTTTCTTTGCTTTCCCGGCGTCTCCTCTTTGTCCAGGCCTCTCTTCTACGCTCCCTTCTTTACAAAATTAAGTAGGTTAGAAGTCAATTTATTTTTGCAGTTCTACCACCTCCCCCAAACTTTCCCCTCAACTAAAGGCTCTTAAAGACATCAATTAGCTCCTAGACAGGACTAGTCTAAAGAAGATGCTGAGGAGGCGATAGGCAACCCTCTGCGACAGCCGCCTCCTCTAGGCAGCCCACCAGCTGTGACCCAGAAATGGAAGGACACTGGGCAGGTCCTGAGGTATTTTTGTATCTTCTTCAGGAAGACACTTGGATCTAGCCTGTCCACGGGCAACTTATAATCCACGACTGTGCCCAAAACAGGTCTGTTTACGGCAACGTTGGTTCCCGGCACAGCCACTGGAGGCTCTAGCCTTGAACGTGGGCACTAAAGGCCTAACCGCCAAGAGACCAGGATTTGATTCCCAGTTCCCACACCACCAAGCTGCCTGGCTGTCTGCAAAGCCTTTAACCTCGTGGAAATTCAGCTTCCACATCTGGAAAATGGGAATCACACTCACCTCTAATTCGTGACGCTCTTGAGAAGAGACAGAGAAATCTCCACGAGCCTGGACCCAGGGCCGTGCTCATAGTAAGTGCTCAGTGAATGCTCGTGGGCATCGACTGCCCTATTATTCATCTAAGAGCACCATGACTGAGTTATGCGGGGGCCTCCACCCCAGGGAGGAGGAAGAGGGTGCCCCCCACCCCATGAGGCACTCCTGACTGGGCCTGTTTGTGCAAGAATGGATGATGCAAACTAGAATGGGGCCAGGCAGAGGCGGCTGCCAGCTCCCGGAGGAGGCCGAGATGTAAACAGACCTGCCACCAGCTGCCGGGACCCATCCAATTGTTATGGAAGTGACTGGGCGTCTGCCATGGGCTGCCTCCTACTCGCCTGGGCCTCAGAAGGCAGATGTCAGGGCCTGTGGCTGGGGTACTGGCCCCTGCTGACCCGCCTGGGCCCTGAAGCCACCCTCATGCCTTAGCCCACACAATGAGCTTCCCCTGCAGCAAGACTAACTCTTCTATTCTGTGCAGGAGGCTAAGCCTCTGCCTGTCTCAGGCCTCCACCATCTACCTGTCCTGCCTGCCTCCTCATTCCAGTCCATTTTACTGGCTTCCTGGGAAGATGCCCCAAGTCAGATTCTGTGCCCCTTCCACTGCTCAGAAACCACCAGAAAATTTCTCGCCTTCTTGCATGGCCTAGTGGGGGCTGCATCTCTCTCTGGCTTCCCCTCCCAGCTTCACCCTCATGTCCATCATCACACCCCATCCTGTAGCACAATATGTAGCGCTTCTCACTGACACCCCAGAACCTTCTGCCAGAGTTGCCCCAACACCCATCCCTCTGCCTGAAGATGTGCTATCTGTCCAAAGGCCATCTTCTCATGGAATGTGTCGCTGCAGTCACATACATGCACACACACAAACACACACACACACACACATGCGCTTGCTGTGTTTGCATCTCTGCATCCCCACGTTTCCCACGCTTTACGCTGCACGGTGGCTTTCATTTGCAAACTCTCTTTCCTCTCCCAAACCCCAAGCTGCTGCAGGTACAGCCTGTGGCCCCTGGTTGCTATTGCCCCCCACACACACACCCTACTGTGCACACAGGCTCCATAAATGTCCCATGAAATTGATGCCCCACACTCGACATCTATCTATTCACCAACCTAAAAGCATTTGTGAAAGTCTTTTGTCTGACACGGATATTGCCCGGGGCCTAGGAACCAACAATAGCATCATTGATAACGCCTTTTGCATTTCCATTTTTAGAAGGGCACAGCGGGGTGATACTCTGAGCGGGAGTCCTCCCAAAGAATGGAGAAGTACACGCCAACCACTGAGTCTGTGTCCCCCGATCCCAGCGGAGCGTCAGCAGCAGCAGCAGCAGCATGCTCTAGAACTCAAGAGGACGGGGCGAGGGAGCGAGGAGGTCCTGTGGCGAGAGGTGAGGAGACGTTCCTGCAGGGGGCGTCCTGCCAGCCAGGCCAAGCGCTGCGCGAGGAAGCTGAAAGCATGCGTTACCTGTTAGGCTCTGCTGCAGAGTCCGGCTCAGGGGACATAAGGTTTTCTCGAGCCTGTCCTAATTCAGCACATGCGCCCCGAGTTTTCCTCCTGCCCTGGCCCTGAGCTTCTGGTGGCTCTGCCAGGCAGTTCTGAAACACGCTCCTTTGAAGCAGGGAGTTTATTTCGGGCCCACCGCATGACCGGCGACGGCCAGCCAGACTAGAAGATGTTCCGCAGCTCAGATTTCCTGCGTGAGCGTGAGCGTGAGTGTGCCCGGGAAGCGGCAGGCCTGCTGCTCCGGGCGCAGTGACGACCAGCCTCCCTCCAGAGAGCATCTCGAGCCTCGGCCCTCAGGGACGTCATCACTTGTGATGCTTGACATGAAAGCCATATATGGGTATGTTTCTGGAGCTGCCCAGGAGGGAGCGAGAGAAGAGAGAGATGCAGAGGGTGAGAGACAGAGAGACAGGGGAAGAGACGGAAGGCCAGAGCAGGGGGCAGGAGAGAAGAGCCAGGGAGGGAGGGAGAGAGGAGGGAGGAGGGAGACAGGAGATGGGGAAGAGGGAGAAGGAACAGAAGAGCTGATGGAGAGGGGGCAGGACAGAAAGAGGGAGGAAGATGAGGGAGGCGGACGGGGGACAGTGCAGGGCAGAGCAAAAGAGAAAAGGACCATTGGGTAGGGAGGGAGACCCCGGAGACAGCAAGAAGGAAGGAGATGGGGTGCCCTCTGGAGAGAAAGGGGGGCCGGCAAGAAGGTGAGAGGACAGGAAGGGAGACAGGCTGAGTGAGGGAGGGGCTGGGAGGAAGGATTTGCTGAGAAAGGACTTTGGCGAAACCCTGCAAGAGGTGGCAGGTGTGGCGGCGGCATTTGGGATGCCGTCAGGGATGCAGCCGCCAGATGCTGAGGGGGAGGCTGGAGCAACAGAGGGAAACAAACAAGCCAACAGACACCTCACCCAAGCAGCCGGGAGGAAGGGAGCCCGTCCCCTGGGGTCAGGGAGGAACGCTGCTCCTGGAGGGTTGGAAGGGTATGAAATGCCAGTGCCAGGGGGTGAAGGGAGCATTCGCAGCCAGCACCTGGCACATCTCCAGGCCCTTACACACCATTTACCTGTCCTCCCTGCCTCCTCATTCCAGCCCATTCTACCGGCTTCCTGGGAAGATGCCCTCAGGCCACAGAGTCCTGGGCTGGGACTGTCACGTGATCTGTTGCCCTAAAGGGAAAATAACTTCAGCTTGGAGGATGTTGGATTTATGACACCCATGGGGTGACTTCTTGGCAACTCAAACTCGGGAGAACTTCAGGACACCTTTAGGTTCACCTGGAATTTTCCACCTGCAGATACATCTCAGTGAACGCAGGTGCCCTGGGGCGGGTCAAGGTTCCCAGATGTTTGACCTGGTGCTGAGGACAGGAGGGCATGATCAGCCTCTGTGTTTCTCCCACCTAATCTGGCTGCAGCTGGGATGGTCCCCCAGGCTGATATGGTTAGGTGACCCCGAAGGGTAGCTCATGCTCAGCCCCTCCAGATTTCTGCGACTTGGTAGGGGTGTGAGAAGGTTGGAGAGGGGCCGTCTACTGTGTGGGAGTTTTCCCTGCAGTGAGAAGTTCTAGCAGTTTCCCTGGAGTGCATCCCTGGGGGCCTGCAGGAGGCGGGAACAGGTCTCTCCACTCTATGCCATGGGTCCCCCTCTGAAGATTCGCCCTTGGGACGATACGGGGTGCCTTTCCAGGTGACCCCCTGCCTGCCTCCCCCTCCCAAGTCTAGACACCTCATTTAGTCATTGAGAGAGCTGAAGACTCTCTCCAAACACCATTGTCCCAGCCTCTAATGCACTCAGCATTTGAAAATCAAAACCCCAAACTGTGGGTGAAGAGTCACAGGGACTAGAAAGTGTGACCGGGCAGGGGCTGGCCGGGCACACCCGAATGCACGCCAGAGCTGTCCTGCTTCGGGAACCCAGCCTCCAGGAGGCTGTTATCACCCACCACAGCGGAGGAGGCCAAGACGCAGAAGCTACGCTGGTCCTCACACCACCATCTCTAAGTGATGGCGTAGCGGTCTGACCCAGCGCCGCCTGACAAGGGAGCACCGCTCCCCTCACGGAAGGGGGAATTCAGATGCTGGGCAGAATGGGGAGCCCACAAGGCTGCACAGCAAAATAGATGAACATCTGTTTTCCCCGGATTCTTCACTCACCCCGGCTGGGGGGTGGCTAGAGCCAGTAAAGGCCCACGGAGGCTGGGACAAAGACAGGTGGCCGCCGGTGGGCATCGAGGCCACTCACCTCCAAAATGAGCAGCTTGGGCCGACTAGTGGCCCCTGGCCCTGCACATTAGATTCTTGTTAAACTCACCTGTGTCTGCCGCCACCCCATGATTCTGGGTGAACTCATCTGAGTTGACACCTGATTTTTAAAAAGATTGTATTAAAGTATACTATATCCAGGGCCTCCCTGGTGGCACAAGGGGTTAAGTCTCAGCATCATGACGCTATCCGCAGCCACCGCAGCACAAGTTCGATCCCCGGCCAGGGAGCTGACCCACATGGCGCAGCAGACCTCTGCTGTCTCCCCGCTGCTCCCCTCAGCAGTGTACGTCAGTAGATCTGCCTGTTCTGCTCCCCACTCTGTCTCTGGTGACTCCTCTCACCCCCGCACCTCTGGCCTACACCCCAGTTCTTGTATGCACAAATAAATCTTTAAAAAAAAAGTATAATATATCCACAGAAGAGTGCCTATATTGTAAATGTGTGACTCAATGGATAGTCACCAGGACACACCCAACCTCTAAGTCAGAGACAATTTACAGGCCCCCAGAGAGTCCCTCTTTTGCTCCGCACCCCATCTCTACACCACCACCCACCACCTCTTGCAAAACGTGACTGTTCTCCTGACCTCTGGCAGCACCGTTTTTGTGACATTTCTGTGAGTGAATCACACTTGTGTCTCCTTTTGTTTGATGGTAAATTGTGAGATTCATCCATGTCCTTTTGTTAGTTATAGATTATCTGTTTTCATTGCTGTGTAATATTCCATGGAGTGAATAGAACTATTCATTCTACTATTGGTGGACATTTGGGTAGTCCCAAGTTCAGAGCAGTGTTGAGGAGTGCAGCAGTTTAGTACATGTCTTTAGATGTACGCACCCATCTCTGCCCAGTGGACCCCTCTGGTGGTGATTGCTGGGTCATAGGCATACGAAACTACCAAACACTTTTGCAAGGCTGTTGTACCTGTGTGTAGTGCCATCAGCATGTCTAAGAGTTCCGGTTGCTCCGTAACCTCACCGTCACTCGCTAGTTCCCATCTTTTTTCACATTATCCATTCTGATGGGCATTAGTGATAGCTGGTGGCAGTGTTAATTTGCATGTCTTTGATGACAGATTAGGTTTAGGTTGAGCATCTGAGCAGCCCTGACTTCAGTCATCTTTGGAGCTTTTGGACAAGGCAAGGCCCCAGAGGTGGTTCTGGGGAACAGCCCTCCAGGGAGAGTTTTTATGGGGGGATAGGAAAGGGTAAATGAAGGATAGCTGGCTGGTCAACCCACAGCAGCACGTGGAGAAGGATATGAGCACCGGGAGAAACTCTCAGGGCCCCCACATTGCCCCAGGAGGTTCTACTCTGATTACGAACAGACGTCCCTTGCTCTCTAAGAGCCCTGCCTCTGCCTTCATTTATTCTTCACTTATTCCCTTCATCACCCACCTCGCCCATTATACATTTTTATTTGTCACTGGCTCGTTGCCACTCTGTTCACTGCTGGGAGTCAGTGCCTCCAACAGTGATTGGCACATAGTAGGTGCTCATTAAATAACTGATGAATGTATATGCTTATGTTCAAGCCTCACAGCTCCTGCTTATGAATTGGGGGGTGGGGGCTGTGGCACTGGCTGCCAGCCACAGCCTGGTTCTTGGCCACATGAACTCATGAGCACATACCCCCCTCCTTTATTCATGGGAATTCAGATTAAAATAAACATGGAAGGGAGCCTGGAAAGGAACGGCCTGGCGTGTGTGCGCGCGTGTGCATGCACTGGAGGGCCAGTTCATAGACTCCCACACCCAGTAGGGCCCAGAGAAAAAGCCAAGACCAGCACATTTTCCTTATGACAGTGATACCACTTCCAGGAAGGGGGTGGGGGCAAGGAAGAGCCACCGAAGGGGACTGGGATGTGGGTCACTGCCAGTCCCGGGACGGTTCTGACCCAACACTGGAACATCATGAGCTAAAATAAGCACCCCCGTGGACTTGGCGTCCTGGCCCTCAGCCCTGGCCAGGATATCAGTTTATTTTGGTTTCAAGAGATGAAGAGGAACAGACAAGAGTCTGATTCCTACCCTGGGCAGCACTGGGGGCGGGAGGGGCAGACAGAGGGCAAACAGAGGGGGTGGGGAGACAGAGGCTTCCAGTCCTGGGAGGGGCAGGAGGAAGGTGCATCTATGGAGGGGGAGGAGAGGGTCAGGGGGAAGGCAGAGAGAAGTCCGGGGTCCGGGGAGGACCACTGCACCCTGTGGGTACCCTGGGGTGTGGCTGACTCCCATGATTTTCCTTTGGAGAAATCATACCCCTCCACTGCACAGCTGGGGAGGCCAAGACGAACTCCAGGGAGAGAAGCCAGTCCTCCCACCTGTCAAGAACAGAGCGCGGGCACCACCCTCACCCTCAGTTGGAAGAAGGGCAGGTCAGCCTTGTGCCCTGTCGACACCTAGATGTGGGGGTGACACCCACCTGGATGAAGCTGTACCCAGCGGGGCCTCTGGAGGCTGGCAAGGGGCTGCCTGGCACCATTCTCTCCAGCCCCCATCCTGTATGCAAGGGGAAGAACAGGGGCTCGAACCAGGGACTCCAATAAAATAAGCAGATCTGAAGTTGTGTGTGGGACTGTGTGGGGGACAGGGGCCTCTTTGCAGCTGGCTGGGGCTTCTGGGCCTTCAGACAAGGGTGACCAGGACTGAGCAGCAGGTCCCAGGCCCACAGAGCCACAGCCTCAGCCAGCCTCACAGCTCCCTCTCTACACCCCAGTGGTCCTGGAACAATTGCCTGCATCCTCACAGGCAGGCCTAGTCACCCCTGCCTGGAGACCTGGGGAGCTGCTGGGCATTTCCTTGGGCAGGAGCCACCTGCAGCAGAAGCCCCGCAAGCCCAGGGCCATCGGCCTGGGAACGCTGACTTTCTCTAACGAGTGTCTTGTTCTTGGAGGGTGTCCCAACAGGGTGTGGTCCTGGGCCTGGTGGGGACAAGCTGGGGGCATATGTGTCTTGTCTATACAGACGATTTCCTCCTTGATGGACAGTGCAATCCAGTCAGCCACACCCTGTCCTGATTCCAGCAGGGACACTGGTATTGGATCATCCTAGACC